ACGGGGCCCCTTGCGTACGAGTACAAGAGTACGAATCCGTACTCGTACGAGGGTGCGTACAAGTGGCAACGTAGAAAATTATGCTCTTTTTATACTTTCCTAAAATTCGCGTTATAAGCCTATAAGGTCGTGTTTGAATTTCGCTCAATTTCTGTGATGTTAAACATTGCGTTTATAGGGCTATAAACACTTGACCGATTGCGGACTAAAATAATTTTGTCCGTGTTTCGTTTTCAAACAGTCGTTATAGGCCTATAATTCGAAAAGTGTGGTTTCCGAATTTCGAGAGAATTTTCGAGGGTCGCTTTCAAATCTCGCGAGATTCGGCTCTTTTCTGAATTTGCGCAAATTCGCGTTATAGGCCTATAAGATCGTGTTTGGAAGTCTTTGAATTTCCGTGACGGTCGAATATGGTCAATTGGCTGTCCATAACTTTTGAAGATTTGAAATCAGTTGTCGTTGACTGTTTTTTTGCTTTCCTCTTCATCCCGTTTTTTTACTACCTTCGTTTTGAAGCTTTTATTTCCTTAGTATTATGAGTGCAAAGAAAGAGGCTCTGTTCGCCTTGCCTGGTTTTCAGTTAGTTTTTACGTCCTTGGATTAGGTTGCGGAAAAAGCTCTTCTGTTTTAAAACAAAATACTACTTCCAATGTACAGTACTGACTGGTCGTTTGGTTCTGCACTGAAATCTCCATAAATTGGAAATCTTTTCGTCGGCCATGAGTAGGAGTCGCCTGCTCGCCTCCAAAATGGGCTCTTTTTTCCAAGTTGTTGTCGGCCTCGTATATTTACTGATTTTTAGGGGGGGGGTCGATGACATTTGCGCACGAAACAGTGCAAAATCCACCTTTTGCTTCTAAAAAAATGCTATGTTCCATTGACGTTTTTCTGTCTATAGGATATCTCTGGTTTTGGTTTGTTTTTCTGGTTTTCACGAATTCATTGTTTTTAGCAGAAAGTTACTGTGGCTTGATGTGCTTTGTAGCCTGGGAATGTTTACATAGTGTATCGTACCTGTGATTAGGGGAAATAAGTCGATACCGAACTGTGCCATGTGCCTCAGTCAGGGTCAGTCTGAGTGCACTCTCTAGCCCCTGCCTCTACTTTTCTAGGTTGCTGCCACTTATGAGTAGGAGACGATCAATATTGTTAAAAATTGCCTACTTATTGGTTAAGTACCTGATAGATGGGGACTGAGAAAAAAGAAGAGGACTCACAAATATACAACTCACGAGTGACCCCGATCTCAACGAGAATCGGTCAGGGTGTTCTAAGGCTTTAACTCTTAAGGCAAGAAGCGAAAAGAGGCGCTTGCGAACATTCGATGCTCGTTGTAAGCAAGCAGAGCCCAGCCTTCTGAGTAGAACCTGTATTAGAGCACCATGTCTAATGGGGGAGTATGGTAATGATCAGACAGTTCACGACTCAGATACTGAACGCTGTTGATGTTTGGGTGGCAGTTATCCTTCAAGACCAGTGGGGAAGAAATGTGAGCTACTTGATTGAGTCGATCAACAGGACCTTGGTATTAAACGGCCATGGGTGAGAACACGAGCGCATGGCCGAGATTTCTCTTAATAAAAGAGTGGACGTGAAAAGGAACTGTGCCCAACACTGACCAGTTCACCCTGTGAACGAAGGAGATGTATTTGGTTAACGTCATTTCGGGAGTGAATCTAAAGTTGTTGATTGAGTATCAGCTCACAGTGCACTATCTAAAACAAGTGAACATTATCATACCCACTATTCGGTCAGACTCGCAAAAGAAAGGGTTGCTGACAAATCACAGGGTAATCCAGAGGAGATGACTTCACTGGGAAGCACCCGTGGGTCATTGCTCAATGGATGACTGGTGAGTGAGTCAGGGAAACGTGATCAGTTGGACCCATGAAGTGCTTCGATCCAAGCGAGGGGTTTCGAGTAGACTAAGGCCAGAAGTGAGGGATCATTTAGCACAACCTTGTCGTACTTCAGTTCTAACCTGAGAAGTACAACATTTCAAGAGACCAGGTGGAAATTAATACGCTCAGAACATACCTCTTGCTTCTGCTATCTCAAAAGCGGGCCCTGTTGCTTGAAGCCGATTTCTTAACATTATTAATCAGGTTTTAGCCAAGTTAGAATGAGAATTGATCACTTATTCCTCCACTCGTGAAGACATCAGTTGATTTATTTTTTTTATGAGAGGACTACTAGCAAATTGTTAGTAGAAGTCATCAGGAAAATTTTAATGAAGAAGTTATCTTGCAAGCCTATCAGTGGGGTCATCAGCAAGGTAACAGCAGACCATCAGACATCTCTGATCACAAGAGACTTGATACACTGCAGATACTGAGGAGATGTTCCTCCATTTGGTGACTGCAGAGTTGTCGATTGCTAGGCCTTTGCGACCCTGAAATTGAGAGTCCGCATCAGCCTACCTCCCTCTCTTTTCTCTGACAGCAGGCCGCCACCGGTGAATCGTCCACTAGTCAGTTGTAATCCTCCTCTTGGGATCCTCATCCGTTGCTGATCGCTATAGGGTTCAGAGCGTAGGTCTCCTGGCTTGAGATTAACACAGCGAAAACCCAGTGGAGAAATGGGAGACAACGATACAGTTAGAGTGACTTGTTCGCTGCATCAAGCCATAGTAAGGGATTGGAGAGCGACGGTAACCGATGACTATAATTTTCAGACAACCATTATGATGGAGCATGCACTGACACTCATGAGAAACCATACCAAAATCGAATATACTTACTACTTGTATGACAAGAGCGGAAAACTGTGTGCAACCATCTCGTCTGTGGGCTCCGTTGAGGAGGCGAGGAGAACCATTTGCAGATAGAAGTGAAATGAATCTGCTCCGGACATAAAATGAGTAAGAGAAGGTTGGATCAGGTTGGGAACTAGTAGCAACCAGAAAATACCGCAAACCTGCAAGACACGAGGATGAATGACAAACAGTTATGACACAGTAATCACCAACAAATCCGCGATTCAGAAAGAAACCAGTAATCTCAACAGTAGTCTGTTCTGCAATCAGTAATCTCAACAGTAGTCTGTTCTGCAATCAGTAATCTCAACAGTAATCTGTTTCCGCGACAAGCAATCAGACCGGTGATCAGTTCTCAACAACCAGTGTTCGGCATTCATTTAATCAGTTCCTAGCGATCAGTTCTCAACGATCGGTACCTGTCAGGTACTTTTTAGTTTTCAACAGACGGTGCACGATAGTCATCTTTTCAGTGATCATCTAATCAGTTTGTACTGACTAGTCTACTTATGAGTACAGTCGAATCTTTTCGGGTCAGCGATTCAGTGCTGGCTAATCTCAATCAGGTTTCTGGCAAGGAGGCCTTCTGCTATCAGTATGTTAGTGTCGTTGGGTTCAGGTAGGGAGATCTATCAATCTTCGTGGGCCAGACCAATTTTGCTGATGGCACTATCCACGACCTGAGGTCATACCTGAAGAAGGGCAAGGAAGCTCATGAGCATTTCGATCCAGTCTGGATCTCAGCCACCAAATACCTCGAGCAGAGAGAGAGGGATTTCGATGAGAGTGGCACTACGTTGATCCGCAGATTTGGGTCAAAGCTTTATACTGACTATCCCAGGCCTCCTGTTCCTTCTCTCCTCACAGATGGCACGAGTTGGTTTGATATAATCGACTTGGCAAAGAGGTATATCTCTCCAACGGTGATCGACATTGAGGCACTGACTGAGCCCACCGAGTATCTTTACCTCAGAAGA